ATTAAAATCAAACACTGGTTTTGAATCTCATAAGGTCCATGACCAGATATGACCAGTTTTTCAATATTCATAATATCAAGTATTATCTGCTTTTAAATCATGGCTACATTGACTTAAAAGAAGAAAATTCTCATGATTGTTTTGAATCACATTTTTATTTTATTTTATTTGTGGAGATGAGGTCTTGTTATGTTGCCTAGACTGACCTCAAGCTCATGGGTTCAAGTGACCTTCCTACCTCATCCTCTAACTGCGGCTACACGTGCATACTACTGTGTTAGCTGAACTGTATTTGTTGATGCTTATTGGCCATTTATGTATATTTTCTTAACATTATTCAAGTCTTTTGTTGTTCTTTTGGCATATTTAATTTTTTTTTTACTGATTAGTTTATTCATATACTAATATGAACTTTAGTATATTAGTTTATATACCTAAAATGAACTAATAAAGTGAACATATCTATTTATCCACGCTTATATCAATTTAGAGTGCATTTCTAGTACCCCACAGGCCTCTGTCATGCCCTTTAAAGTCATTAAACTCCCGAAAAGTGTCTACTGTCTTCTCTAAATTAATTTTGTCTGTATTTAAGCTTTTTACAAAGAAAATTGTATGCACCATGTGTATTCTTTTGTATGTGGTTTCTTTTAATATTATGTCACATTCCTGTGGTTGAGTGTGGTGGTAAATTGCTCATTCTTTTCTTTGTGGTATAATATTCTATTGTATAATGTACCATGATTTGTTTATCTGTTTTACTGTTCTGGAACATATTGGTGGTTTTTATTTGGAGGCCATTAAGAACATTCTTGTCTCTGTTACTTGTTACCTAAGAAATAGGTAAACATTTCTTTTGGATATAAAGGAGTAGACTTGCTCTGTCATACAGTGTGCATATATATTCAGCATTAGTAGATCCTGCTTAACAGTTCATCCAAATGATTGTAGCAGTTTACACTCAGCAGCAAAGTTAAGAGAGAGTTCTTCTGGTTGCCTACATCCTATGCAATACTTGGTATTGTCAGGGTTTTTTTGTTTTTTGTTTTTAAATTTGAGATTAATATGGGGATACATATGACTAGAGGTTACATAGTTTGCTGTTACAAGGTTAAAGTCTGGGTTGTAATTGTGCCTTACACCCAGGGAGTGTGCAGTGTAGTATACGTGTTGGTTTAACCGTTGAGTGGGAATATGCTTCTCCCCCTCCCCTTTACTCGAATTTAATCGAGTTTTTGTCTCATGCGAGCATGTAGTTGTTAATCTTTTGGTTCTCGTTATGGACTAAGTACATGTGGTGCTTATTTTTCCTTTCTTGTGATATTTTGCTCAGGAGAATGTTCTCCAAATCCATTCAGGTTGTTAAAAAAGATTCACTGTCTCCATCTTTTTTATGGCTGAAGAGTATTCTGTGATGTACATTACCACAGTTTATTAATCCATTCATGTCTTGAAGGGGATCTGGATTGTTTCCTCATCTTTGTGATTGAATTGTGTTGCTGTTAACATTCCACTACAAATGTCCTTACGGTAAAATGTCTTTCCTTTTGGGTAGGTACCTAGTAATGGGATTGTAGGATCAAATGGTAGGTCTGCTTTTAGTTCTTTGTGGAATCCACAGAGACTATTAGTTTGCAATCCCACCAGCAGTGCATGAGTGTGCCCTTCTCTCCATACTCATGCCAGCATCTGTTGCTTTGGGACCTTGTGATGTGGGCAGTTCTCACTGGCATTCGGTGATAGCTATCTCAAAGTGGTTTTGATTTGCATTTCTGTGGTGATTAGAGACAATGAGCATTTATTCATGTTTCTTGGCTACTTGTCTGTCCTTATGAGAAAAGTTTCTGTTCTTGTTGATTTTTTAATGGGGTTACCTGATCTTTTCTTGTTGATTTGCTTGAGTTCTTTGTAGATTTGGATTGGTAACATGCAAATATCTTCTCCCATTTTGTAGGATATCTCTTTGCTTTGTTGAATGTGTCATAGCTGTGCAGAAGCTTTTTAATTTGATCAAATCTCGTTTTTTTTATTATTGTTCCTTTGATTGCCCGTGAGGTCTTCATAAATTATTCACTAGTCAGGTTAAGAGTTTTTCCTATACTTTCTTCTAGGGTTTTTATAGTTTTATGCCTTAGATATAAATTTTCTGTCCATTGTGAGTCAATTTTCTAAGTGGTGAGAGGTGCAGGTTCAGTTTCAGGCTTTCACATGTGGCTAATCAGTTCTCCCAGTGCCCTTTACTGAATAGGGATTCTTTTCCCAGGGTATGCTTCTGTTTGCTTTGTTAAAGATCAGGTGGCAATGTGAGCCTGGTTTCCATCTCTAGGGTCTCTAGGTTCTATTCCATAGATCTGTGTCTCTATTTTTATGCCAATACCATGCTGTTTTGGTCAGTGTCAACTTGTTTATAGCCTAAAGTCTGGTAAAGCTATACACTCCAGATTTGTTCTTATTTCGTAGAATTACATTGGCTATTTGAGATTTTTTTCTGGTTCCATATGAAACATAGAACTGTTTTTTCAAGGTGTTCAAAGTATGGTTTTGGTATTTTAATGGAGATTGCATTAAATCTGTAGATAGTTGCATTAAATCTGTAGATGGCTATGGTTGGTACAGACATTTTAACAACATTGATTCTTCAAAGATGTGAGCATGATAAGTTCTTTCATCTGTTAACTCCTCTGCAATTTTTTCTCTCAGTGTTTCATAGTTCTCTCTACAGAGATCCTTCAGATCCTTCGATAAATATATTCAAAGGCATTTAATTTTCTTTTATACTACCATGAAGGGAATTGTCTTTGATTTGATTCTCAGCTTGACTGTCGTAGGATATATGAAGGCTACTGATTGGTGTACATCGATTTTATAATCTGAGACACTACTGTAATTCTTTATTAATTCCCGGAGTCTCGTGGTTGATTCCTTTTTCTTTTCTTTTCATTTTTTTTTTTTTTTTTTTTGAGACAGAACCTCAAGCTGTCACCCTGGGTAGAGTGCTGTGGCATCACAGCTCACAGCAACCTCCAACTCCTGGGCTCAAGTGAGTCTCCTGCCTCAGCCTCCCAAGTAGCTGGGACTACAGGGGCCCACCACAACGCCCGGCTATTTTTTGGTTGTAGCCATCATTGTTTGACGGGCCCTGGGCTGGATTCGAATCCAACACCTTAGGTGTATATGGCTGGCGCCTTAGCCACTTGAGCCACAGGCACTAAAACTAGGTTTTCTAAGGTATAAAGATTATATCACCAGCTAACAGCAAACGTTTTACCTCCTCTTTTCCTATTTGGATACCCTTGATATCCTTCCGTTGTCTGATAGCATTGACTAGAACTTCCAGCACCAAATAGTGGTGCAATAGTGGACATCCTTATCTGGTTCCAGTTCTAAGCAGGGATGATTTCAGTTTTTCTACATTCAATATGATGTTGGCTGTGGGTTTGTCATAGATGACTTCTATCAGTTTGAGGAATGTCCCATCTGAGCCTTTTTTTTTTTGATACAGAGTCACATTCTATCACCCAGGCTAGAGTGCTATGGCATCAGCCTAGCTCCCAGCAACCTCAGACTCCTAGGTTGAAGTGATACTCTTGCCTCAGCGTCCCAAGTAACTGGGACTACAGGCACCTGCCACAACACCCAGCTAATTTTTGTATTTAGTAGAGACAGGACCTGACTGTTGCTCAGAGTGATCTCAAACTCTGGAGCTCAAGAAATTCTCCCACCTTGGCCTCTCAAGAGTGCTAGAATTATAGGCATGAGCTACTGCGCCCAGCCAGTACTGATTTTCTTATTGTTGTTATTAAAAAAGGATGCTGAATTTTGTCAGATACTTTTTCTGCATCTATTGAGAGGATCTTATGGTCTTTGTTTTAACTTCTGTTCAAGTGGTGAATTATGTTTATAGATTTACATATGTTGAACCTGCCTTGCATTCCTGGGATGGAGCCCATCTAGTTGTGATGGATTTTTTTTTTTTTTGATGTATCCCTAATTCTGTTTGCTAGAATTTTATTGAGTATTTTTGTGTCAATATTCATTAATGATGTCATCCTATAGTTTTCTTTTTTTGTTGTATCCTTTCCTGGTTTTGAATATTTGCTTCATGGAAAGAGTTGGGAAGAGTTCTTTCCTTCTCATTGTTTTGGAATAGATTCTGTGTTATGGGTACAGTCTATTCTTTGAAGGTTTGGTAGAATTCTGGTGGGAAAGCCTCTGGTACAGGACATTTTTTTGTTGGAAGCTTGTTAATTGTTGGTTCGGTTTCAGTGCTTGATATTGGTTTGTTCAAGAGTTCCACTTTGTCTTGGTTGAGTCTAGGATACAGTGACCAGATTTTTTTTTTTTTTTTTGAGACAGAGCCTCAAGCTGTCCCTCTGGGTAAAGTGCCTCCAACTCCTGGGCTCAAGCGAGTCTCCTGCCTCCGCCTCCCAAGTAGCTGGGACCACAG